CCTCCATATCTCCCAGCCCTTACAGTCTTCCCATTATAGCCTTATCTGACCTCTGACCTTTGGCCCTTAACCCAACTTCTTACGCAACCGTAGAACCCTTCGCGAATGTTCCAGAAAATTCTAGAATTCTTAACCTTTCAACTTTGACGTTTAGCCCGGCACAGAGAAACACACACTGAACATTATATATATAGATTCTAAGAATCATAGAATTCATCGAAATCCAAGTAATTAATAAAGAGATAAATATTAAACTTCAAAGTTTCGAACATCTTCAAGAAAAAGAATGCAAACAATCATAAGTATTATCAAAAGATGGAAATAAGTGTCGTAGTCGTTCGAACTCATTGAGCTAGTTGCACAAATATCAATAATTTTGGAAATCATTAAGTTAGTTGATTTACCAGTTGAACATAAACGACGAAATAGATCTTTAGATTTTATTCATGTATATAATAATTTTATCTTGAGTTTTCAACGCTATTATCAGAAGAACCAATGACGCAAGCAAAACAGTTATGAATATTGCTACTAGAAAAGAAGGAAGAGACGATATTATTCATAGAAAGTTTTGTGATAGAATTACTACGATTTTAAATAGAACTTCATGATTTAATTCGTCACTATTATGTTGTATATTTTTTTTTTTCATTTCTCCATAGAATTTTTCATAAAAAAATTAAGTAAACATTTTCATGATTCATGAAAACTTCTTATCTCTGACGCACGAACGTAGTAGAAACAATATTTTTTAAGCATATAAGACAAGCATTTTTCTTGTTCTTTGTATTTATATTAACACTCTGATTTTATCTTATACAATGAGTGAATTGCTTCCTCCGCCACCAGCTTATGATGAAATCGCCAACACTTTAACACCTAAAAATCCTAATCCAAATTGGTACGTATAAATTTCTTCTCAAAAACTTATTTTACCTATTTTAATATAGGCGAGCATGGTATAGAAACTTGATTGCATTAAAATTTACTGAGCAAGAAGCGGATGAATATACAAAATTATTTATAACAAATGAAATTGATATTAGTATGATTCCTGAACTTACTGATAATATTCTTCGAACGATTGGAATCGATAAAGCTGGACAGTACGTATGATTTATAGTTGTGTATTAGAGAAAAAATATTTCTTTATTTATTAACTAGTCGTATTCGAATTTTACGTCTTCAAAACAAAGGTTCTAGTCCAACACCACCAGCACGTCCAACAAACGTTGCTCCTCAAACTGCAATTGTAAATAAAATTAATCATTTATATTTTATTGAATTGAATTTTTCTAGATTCCACGATGTACTTGGCATCGAAATGTAGTGGCTAATGAAAAATGTTGTAGATGTAAACGACTTGTGTGTTTAAATTGTCGTCGAGAAAAATCAGGCGATGGTGGTCGACGATATTATTGTCAAGAATGTTATGATGAGTGTACAATTCTTTGAAGAACATAATAAATTTTTTTTTCTTTGAATTCATTTTTGATGAAAAATAAAAACAATGTGTGATTTTAAAATGTTACTTATCTTTCTATTTGTCTTGTCTTAATGAAAGTGTAGAGTGTTGATCATCTGGTTTTTTTTTCTTTCTTATTTTAATATTGTAAATAACATAGTAAAACTAAATAGAAATTTTTAATATGAAGTTTTATTGAAAAACATTTAGTATTTTAAAGAAACATCAATAGATTTTGAAAACTACAAGAAATCTTTCGAATATTAATAAATTGATTATATCTAACTTATGAATTGCTAATAGTGTCGAGATCGTACGAGTCTTTTGTGTAATTCTTCATACGATTCAATACAATATGACTAAATATATATTATGTAATATCTTTATTAGAATAGAGATTAATGTCTGCCGTCTGCTAAGGCAAGTAAAAATGAAAGATTATTTATTTGGAATATATCTTTGTTCATAGGTGGTGGAAAAATCTAAATTCAAAAGATTTGAAAAAAAAACTTTCAAATTTTTTCGTTTTTTTTTTTTCAGGGAACGACTTAGGACAGTAGCAGGTTAAGAGGAAGGGGCACAGTGGACAACCAGACGACAAAATCGATTTTTTAGATTTGAGTCTATATTATAGCTAACATTGAAGCTACTATGGTGCTGCATGATAGTGAGTTTCTGTTAAGTAGCAAGTACCACAATGTACATAAAATAGGTGAATATCATTAACAGAATCATAGAAGTAAAATATATGTTTTAAATTGAGGATTCAGTTATATTCATTAGTTATTATATTGTTATACAGTGTTATGTATTTACAATATACTACAGACCATTCGGACTTTTTTGAAGTGCTTTAGTCTACAATAAGATCAAAAACTTACACTCAATATGAGCAAAAAAATAAGCAGTGGTTAATAATGCAGTTAATATTTTCGGAACTTGAATTAAAGTTTGAATTTGTTATTTGGTAGAGTATGTGATCATCTATCTTCAGTGGATGCGTATTTAAACCTTTGTTGAGATATAGTATCTCAAATGTAACGTTTTATCAAAATTTGTTGATGCTTTTTATACAGTGATTACTCATGCTTGTACTTCATCAAATTTCGAATAAATAAGAAAAAAAATAGCAAATTTACGTGGACTTTCGATTTATAGGTTCCCTTGTAAAATGTGCATCCCGAACAAAAATCTTCCCACTCTTTGTCTTTTCATGCTGTGAAACTATGCATGAAATTTATTACTGAGTAGAGGTATGACATAAAAATTTTATTTCATTTTCGTATATAGATCACAATGTAATAATACTCTCATGTCATATCTTTACTCAGTAATAAATTTGATCTAAAGTATGGCAGCATAATAAAAGAAAAAAGGCTCTTCTGAAGATGTAAAATGATTTTTTTTTCGTATTTTTATAATTTTCTCGTTTCGAAGAATTCATTGACTTTCACGATCTTCCTAAGTTTCATCCGAGATATATAATGCTAGTGGAAGTGAATAATTTTTGTAGTTAGAACAAAGACAAATTGCAACACATCCTATGAATATTCGAAAAATTTATATTTTAAATGAGAACTTCAAAAAAATATGAAAAACTCAGAAATTTATTTTACTACGTTTCACGACATATTAAATAGATGATTTCAAACTTCACATAACATTTGTAAACATTTTCTACAACATATCTAGGGATGTGCCGAGCGGGGGAGGGGTCGGGAGGTTCTGACCCTCCCACTTTTAGAAAATTTTCGTTTTTTAACAGCTAAAATCGTAGTTTTTCTTAAAAAAAGATCTCAAAAAGAATGGAAAGTGTTAAAAAAAGGGCTCCGGACCCCCTCACTTTTCAAAAAATGATACATTTATCTTTTCAAAATTCAAAAAATTTTCATGGACCCCCACGTTTTTTTCTCCGGCACATCCCTGTATACAATGAGGTCTAATATGTACCTTTATTATTTATTGCCTGCAAGAATTCAAAAGCTGAAAACAGTTTATTAATGATGACCTGTTTCAGACCCTTGAAGAGTAATTAACCGATGGCAGATTTATATAATATATGATTAATAACTGTGTCAAGTATATGAAAAAAAACCAGTCTCATAGTTTGCTAAAAAATATTAAAATGCAACAACTATTTTTTATTATGCTATTTAGCAGTTTTTGAAAGTCAAAAACTTCATTTTTCAGGAATCTTTCGAGTAAAGAAGGCTGATTAAGTGCAGATAATTAGTATGAAGTGTCACCTATATATAAACAAAATATTAAGTTGACAGGTGTAATCATTAAAAGAATTGCTTCTGGACCCCGTTTTTTGCCGACGATGGGACAAGAGAGAGAAACAAAGAAACGGTTTGCTGCCTTCAAAAAAATTATTTTAGAGTTTTCTAAGGGAAAACGAGTTCACACTACATTAGATGAAACTAGAAAGTGTGTTCAACCAATAATTATACCCTTCCTTTCCAAAGTCCAAGATCTGTCACTGACTTAGAAGTATTGTTAACACTTTTTCAAAATTTCATGACCAACAGAATAAACTAAAATGTCTATCAAACTGCGTTGATTACCTCAGCTCTGAACGAACTAAGAGCTGCTCGGCAAATTTCTTGTGTATTGCGTAAAAAGCAGAATGCAATTCAGTTGGGGCTTATGTACGAAAAGACTAAGCGGAATTTCTTAAATCTATCGAGCGTTGTGACATTACCAAACTTCCTAATGTTTTGTAAGATATTTATTGAAAAAAATGTATTACTGAATTTTATTCTTTCACTCACTCTTTGTGCTATTGTGTCAACATAAGTGTAGGCTTGCCATAGAATTAGTTCAGTCTTTCCAAATTTAAGAGGTCCGTTGCATATGACTTTGTTCATATTCAGTTCTCAAGTTTGAAATATTACATAAATTTAAACTATTTTATAAATATGAATTCTCAAAAACTATTAGGAATTTAGATTGTATTTTTGCAGATGATAGTGAAATGTTAGTTAATCGTACCATAAGAAAGACTTGAGAAGTAAAATTGAAAAATATTTATCTAAGTGTTTGTTTATCTGAATTCGTCATAAAAGCGAATCATTATCGTTTTAAAAATGATTTATTATTATTATGATTTGATGAAATTTCTATCTAAAATACATCAGCTATTAAAGTTAATAGAGCACGATTTGTCGATTTTAGGTTCATTAAAAATAACGAATTTGAAACAATTTTTCTTGATTGTATAGTTTCACAGTAAGTCGAGTAATTACTTTTATTAGTTTATTTATTTTTTATCTTGCTGTTAATAACTTGAACACTAAAGTAGTTCGTGATTTGTCATTATAAATCAATAGTTGCATCCGCTTTTAACGATATTAAAATTTTTTTGAAGTCAATACTCGTTGCTACATTGTTCAAATGCTGATTTACTTTGAATTTATTAGTAATTGTTAATTACTGTTTATGAAGATACTGAAATTCTCTAATATCTTCAAGTGAATCAGAAAAATTTTGTTGTTGTTTATCGCTAATATTTCTATCGACGGTTTATAAAGTGTAGTTTGATTAGATTTCATGTACGATTACAAAAAAAAAAATTCATCTCTACGTTCATAGAAATATCATAGCTACGACGAACTTGGCGGAAAGTGTATTGATCTCTTAATTCGGTAATTTCAGTTTAATATCTGCTTACGAGGAAATCATTCGAATTTATAATCACCGTTTAAGCTGATATTGAGTGTACAAGCACAGATTTGTGAGAATAGGAAAAACTCTATAGAGTTCGTCCTCATAAACCTTTGCAGTCAAGTTATGATCATTTTATTGAATTTTCGACTAAGTATCAGATAAATCATAACAGAAAGGTTCGACGTAAAATTTTGTCTATAGATAGATTAAATGATCAGGAAAAAAATTCAGCAAAAAGAATAATTTTTTCAGTAAATACTTAAAAATGAGTCAAAATTTTTTTTGACATCGAGATAATTGATCATAGAATTATTCAAACAAACTCTTGCAAAAAATTAAATTAGATGATTTAGTTATCATAAAAATCTTTACAAATAGTTCATCACGTTTGTTTTCTTAAAATTATAGAAAAACTTTTAATTGAAAAGAACTATCTTTTTTAACAAATTCACAGAGGATATTTCCTCTTCTTTTCTTCTTTTTATTCTGTTCTTTCGTCGAATATTTTGCTGTTTGTCAACATATCAAAATGAAGAAAAACAAACAATGAATTTTTATAATAAACATTTTATTTATCATTTATGATGATGTTGTTGTTGTAGTAGTAGCAGTTTTGCCTGAACGTTTACCAGTAGTAGCTGTTGTTGTTGGTGTAGTTAAAGCTAATCGTTGACCACGAAGTAATGCAGAAGCTCGACGAAGTGCAGCCTGTCAACGAAAAAATTTTCATTCATACAAATATGAAAATACTCAAATCAAACTAACCATTTTAAGATCTTTACGATAACGTTGTTTACGGATTGTTCGTCTGATACTTGTTAATGTACGACGTGAGTCTTTAGTAAGTTTAACCTTACGAAAACGTTTGGCGGGTTTTCTTACATCTGAATAATAAATTATTTAAACGAAAAACAAAAGTGAAATTCATACTTTTAGTACTGCCTGTTGTAAAAACAACACCTTTACCATTTGTAACAGCTTGAACACCAACTACTTTTGGATGAATAAGACCATTGAAACGAAAATTATTACGATTTTTTAAATTATTTGGTTCCTTGAATTAATTTAATAGAAATCAAAAAGAAAAAGAACAAGAAAATCAATTACGAACTGTTGTAAATGTGCCCAATTTTCGTTTATGTAAAAATGATGAATTACTACGAATAACCATCCATTGAACATGAGATGAAGCTTGATCAAATCCTAGAAATTTGCCATAATTAAAACAAATAATTTCAAATAAAAAAGAAACAAAAACACACTTACGTCCACGAAACATTATTTGGGCGACGAATTACAAAAAAAATATTGAATCTAAAAAAATATTGAAAAATTCTTCTTCTTCTATCAAAGCAAAATAAATAAAATACATATAATCAATAGCTTTTCTTCTGTCTATAATCATTATTGGTTAACATCTTTAGCCATCCTGAAATGGATATTTGCGTACTTCATTGTGTCCTTGATGCACTAGTGTGTCAGCATTTTTTTCGAAAGACGTCGCTAACATCGGACTGAATCATTATTAGGAATATTTTCATCGTAATACGCAGGAAATAAAGGAGTAATTCCGAAAGATAACATATTAATTGTGAGTATATATATTCGTCTTGTTTACAACGATCATTAGATTTCTATTTTTCTCATTTCGTGATTGTGCTTTTACGATTTGCAATTATCATCATTTATCCGAACTCATTAATAAAACTAATACTAAGCTTGCTTTAAGAAAAGTAATAAACATTTCTGAAGAGTGCAGATTGTCAACGAGTTATGTAGAAACAAAATAGAATACTGCAAGTTTGCATGTTTTATTATAAAATATAAGATTTATGATTTTATTAAAAAAAAAAAGAAGATTAGCAGCTTTCAAAAATTGTGCTCAGCTTGTTTCGCAACAAAAATTTTGAAACAAAGATAATGTATCTCGTTTTAGGGTTTTAAAGATAAAACTTGTCTGAAGTAATGCAAGACGTGATTTGGAGCAAAAGTCGACGTTAGGTTATTCACTTGTATGCAACATTTAAGAATACCCTTATCTTTTTTGACCATAAGTTCGATTTCGAGCTGATCATAAGGTATGATAGCTTCAAGTGCTACGTGCAATTAGAGACATCATTCAATTCTAAATAGCTTACTGTTACTCATTTACTAAATTAAGGAAATTCTTTTCTTTTCCTTAGCATAACGCAAAACACCAGTGTCCCAATTCTGACTGCTTACGACCTTCCTCTAACCAAGGCTCTCGATTGTTTTTCAGAGCGGGGGGGGGGGCGGGCTAAACTTTCTTTTCTTTTGCCAGACGCTTCAAAAAAACTTCGCAGACAGTCATTCATCCGATTTTTCATGAAAACTGAGAACCGCGGGGGGGGGGGGGGGGCGCGCCGAAGATCTACAGCCGTAAAATTAAATTTCGCAGGGAAAATTACCCATTTTTCCCAGACAGGATTAAAAATTTTCGCCGCCCCACTGCAAAANCTAAAAATTTTAATTCTTCCTAGTTCAGATTAAAATTTTGAAGTTAACTAGTTGACATTGAAATGATTGTGAAGTGAACTAGTTGACTTCAAAATTTTAATCTGAACTAGAAAGAATTAAAATTTCAATCTGTCCTAGTTCGATTTAAAACTGAACTAGATTTTAATTTGTCCTACGACATATACACATATATCAACGTTCAATATTTTGGAATAGAATAAAAGAGAGCAACAAGGAACAAGAGAGAAAGAGAAAAAGAAAGAGAGAGTGAACAAGAGAAGAAAAAGAAAAATGATTGTCCATTTTTACTTGACACCTTGTCCAAAGAAGAACAGAAGAAAATTATGTTGTTTCTATACATCCTTGTTCATTTAGCTGGTTCTCTTGTGGCTTTTGATACAACAACAGAATATTATACAGTACCTGTTAGTGGTAAATGTGTTTTAACTTGTTATGTGGCTGAAGTTCGTTCATTTAAAGTAAGTTATTCATTTTAGTCTATCGTTGAAATAACATCCACATTGTTTCTGTCATCACTTTCTTCCTTTACTTTTTCTATGTGTATGTCTATTGCAATATGATCTGTTGGCCAGACGTAATTGTACTGTTTGTTGGTTCAACAAACTTTTGTGTGTATGTTGATAACCAACATTTGTGATGCATGTTATCATAGTCGCATCCATCCAAGATGAGCTAATTAGATTGATATCACTCCCACCCTCTCTTTTCCAATCAATGATAAGAATCTAACTATTGTATGTCTGGTTTGATGTGGTAATACAAAGATAAACATTGAAGATACCAGGCATAAATTAACTTATTGAATGTATTCTATATGTATGTGTGTATTATTAAATTGTTCATAGTACGGAAGTTTCTCCGTTTGAAATAAAATTTCATTTACTATCATGTCCGAAAAGAGAAAGAAAATAATATTCTCTTTCTCTCTTCCGCTTTGATATTAAGTGTTTAGAATGAAGAAAACAAATACGACCTATTGTACACATACAAGGTCATCTATCTTTATTGAAATGACCGATCATATAGAAGAGATTTCTTTATGTATATTTATATACAGATGTTGTCCGATATGGGCAATTTGGTATTTTGTATTGTTATGCGCAACATATTGCTTAGATGATGACAATCAAAATTTTAAATGTCCATATGTAGATGACGATTATATGTCTCTTGTGAATTGAGTATGTTCAATTACAAGGCTAAACTATATTCACCAATCATAGTGAATTAATAATCGAATAATTGAATTGTATATGTATAGGTTCTATGGCAAAAAATCGATCGACCAATTGTAGGCGGGAATCAAACAAATGTACAACAACAAGAACAACTTACATTGATTGCTTTCGATGGAATAGTCTATTCAAATAAAGATCATTATCGTCTTGAATCGGACTATGTTGGATCTTATAATTTAATAATTGATCGTGTTAATGAAGATGATCAAGGAGAATATCAATGTCAAATAAATACAGAACCAAGAAAAACAAAAAGAATATTTCTTACAGTTCAAGGTAAATTAAATTTTTTTTTTATTTTTCGAATATATGATTGCTAATTACTGTTGAAAAATAGTTTTACACTGTAACACATTGTCTTTAATAGTGAGAATGATAGAAAAGTGGTTAAGATGTTTATCAATAGTGTCTTGTGTCTGGACATACTGTGACACATTACAATTAACATTTTGCATATTCGTCACGGATACGGATGTGTGTTTATTATAGCGTTAATCAATGTATAAATCTTTTCCTTAGGAAATTTTCGCGAATTATTTAACATATATGATGATAAGAACCAAATGTTGTTTTCAAAATTTGATATACCCTATTTCAACCATGAATATCGAAAAAAAAAATGAATTCTATTAATTTATTGTATTTATTTTGGATAGAGAAAATTTTGATAAATTTATTTTTCATTTAGTTCCACCACGTATTGTCGATTTTCGTCCAAATCCACCATTACATTCAATTCGTGCTGGATCATCTTTAACATTATCATGTCGTGCTGAAGGTACACCAATGCCACAAATACGTTGGCGTATTCGCGATGTCGATATGAATCAAGCCGATCTATGTAAGTAGACATGTTAATGAATGTGTGTATGTGTTCAATCCTTGATCAATCATCTTTTGACAAATTCACACGTACGCATGCACGAACACATCGACTTTTAAGCTACTTATACTGATCATATTGCGCAAAGAAAACGACAGACAGACAGATAGATCGAGAACAATAGGACACCCTTCTATGTGAAATTTTTCATCGAGCACGTGTCATGATGTTCATCTAAGGTCAAGTAGAATGTCTACTTGAACTTTTTTTTTTCTATTTTATTTTAATCTTATCTTTCCATTGAGAATTCTTTTTGTTTTTTGTTTATTAGTACCGCCTGATAATAGCAATATTTGGTTTATTCCATCCATAAGTAATACATTTCCACGTACAGTTGAATGTATTGCTGATAATGGTGTTTTACCAGCTTCAAATCGAATATTTACAATAAATGTTGAATGTAAATTGATTTGTTCTCTATTAGAGAGAGAGAGACAGAGAAAACGAATAAAAATGTCTTTTTTTTGTTTTGGTTTTAGATGCACCTGTCGTAATTCTTAATAATGATTTAATTCAAACTGAACAATATCAAAATGTAACTATTGAATGTCATGCATTAAGTCGACCATTTGCTCGAATAACTTGGGAAAAAAATGGAAAAATGATTGAAAAGAATAAAATGAGTAACACTCGAGTTAATCAAACAATGACAACAAGTCGATTGACAATTCAGGTATGCGCACATATATATATATATATATATTCTATTCATAGTCAAATATGTACATATATATATTTAAATAGATGAACAATAATGATGATTTAGGACAATACCATTGTATTGCTGAAAATATTCATGGTCGAATGGAAGCTATTGTACATGTACTTCGTATGTTTGAAGTATTATTTTTTTTATTTGAATAAAAAAAAAAATATTTTAATATTTTAGAAGAATCTATGCAAGGAATAAAACATGAAACAAAACATCGACATTCAAAACATAATTCATCAAGAATAAGTACAAATCGATTATTAACAAGTACTAAAAAACAAAAATAAAAATTCTTTTATAATACAAAATAAATTTCTTTTTTTTTCTTTTTTTTTTAAAAGTAACTCATCCAATAAGATTATCAACAACAACAAATATTTATAGTGAACGTGATATTCATATTAGTTCATCATCATATCGTTTATGGACAACACATATATTAATATATCTTTTGTTATTATTTCAATTTCAAACTATTTACAGATAACAATTATCTGTTTTTTGTTTTTGCACGTGTGTGTGTGTCTCTCTGTGTGTCCTACAGTGATATTTAATTATATATATATATATAGATATATTTATTAAAAGAAGAAAAAAAAATAATAATAATAATCTTCAGTATGGTCATGTACATTCGGCATCATCAGCCTCTTGGATGGCACGACGACGATGTTGAATATGAACAGTACATACAACAATAAGAACAATTAATATTATTAATGTAACAAGTGCATATGTGTAAGCGACACTTATCATAGTTAAAAGATAAACATTTTTTGTACACCAATGTTCGGGATCTTCAGTTGTTTGTTCAAAACGAGGCAAACGATAACGATATATTATATTATTACCATATATAAACCAAACAATAAGAAATAACGTCGTTAGAACATCCATAAATGTCTAAAGTAAAAATACTTTTCTTTTGTTGTTGTTTTTTTTTTGTTTTGGAGTAAAATAATAAAAAGAAAGATTTCAAATTTGCTTGATTTTTCTCGGTTTAACCAATCGATAGAAATGCAAAATACAAATTTTAGAAATTAGAAGACAAATAAAATAAAGAAGAAAGTCAACCAGTATACGTATATCTGAAAATCGAATTATATTTCGATTGCAATACAATGCCGAATTCATAGTATAAAACTGAGTAATTTCATGGATAGTTGACGTGTTTTTTAATTTGAATTTAGAACGACTTTTGCTAGAAAAATGCTGATTTCTTGATTGAAATAGACCCTAACCATAGCAGAATCGAATGATGTCATAATTTTCTGGTGCTCTATCGATTATACTAGAATAGCTGCTCAAAATTTATTCTTTCAGATACTTGTATTGTCATATCTGTTTGTTTACTGATGAAAAGAAAGTACGCATAAGTATTTTATAAGGATATAACCAAAAAAAAAGTAAATGAAAACTAAAAATATCTAGAATTTCATTCTCATGATGTTGACAGTTGGAGTATATTTTTATGAGAAGAAAAACTCACTTTTACAATTCTTGATCATTAAGAAAATAATTTGTAAAACTCGAATTTTTAATTCGACTTCTTTTATCATTTTATAAAGATTTTGTTTGATTGCAACAAACGTATTTTTACTATCAAGAAGATGAACTCAAAGATTATTCTCTCTAACTATACCAGTTACTTATTTTTTTTTGTTGATTTATATTGTCGCTGAAATCAAACGTGCCAGAACTGAAAATCAGAAAATTTGGTAGGTCTGTCTATCGATATTGACTGATTATGTCAAATGAAACAATCATTAGAGTTTATTATAAGTTATTATCATCTGTATTTTCTCGTTCCATCGACACATGTCTGTTTTTACTGAATTATTTCAAAATTCTACTGAAGAAATCTTGTCTTAGGAAGAAAGTAATGTCGTTATCGAACATTTTTTTAAACAAACATTACCATCAGAGAAAGATCAGAACAACGCTTTCAATTAGCAGTTGTGGATATTAAGTTTTCCTACTTCCACATCAAGATTAGAGTGCTGACATCATTGACTTAATGCAAACAGTACAATATAAACAATTGTCTACGAAATAAAAAATTTCTTATTCGAAATCAATAAATTCTTTATTTAATAAAACTATTTTAATAGGATTAGTAAAGCATTACAATGTTGTATTTATTTTTCTTTTTATCAAATACTACTAACTAAAATATGTTGATTAAAAGTGATCAAACCATCATCATTGACATCAAAGATTCTTATAGAATACTTTCTCACTAAGACATTCTAAAAATAGCATCCAACTGTTTGTAAAAGAATTTACTTAAATTATTACTTTCTCTTATACATAATAATAATTACACATTTCAGTGTTTTTTCTAATAGAAATTTTTCATAATTAGATTTCGAACTATATATATATATATATATTAATATGTGATAAGTAGTCTTTCCTGAATACACTATATTTAAGAGAACGTTACAGTCACTGCATTAGCTATGCAAACATTAATATAAGATCAAACATTAGAGTTGTTCTCAAAAGAATACATTTTTACGAATTATCTACAAATGACTTATATTGAATTTTTTTTGAATAATACGACAACATTCTTTGAAATATGATAGAATTTTTATTTTTGTTTTATTACTTTTATGCATATGAGTAAATATTGAAATATACAATGGAATAAATCATGAGAAAAATAAATCTTTCATTATAAACTTAAACTTGCTAACCGATTGTTATAATTGTGTTTTGTTCAAAAAATATTATAAATAATAAATTATCATTTTACTCCGGAGAAATAAGATTTTATTATTTTTCGTTGTTTTTATCTTGTATGTTGACTAGAAAACTATTTTAAAATTAGTACGAAGAAAATAATCGTATTTAATATGCATATTGTATTTTTTTTTGTTTCATCTGTACTATTTATAGTAGTAAAATGCCCGAAGAAAAAAAATACATTTTCTACTAAAGAATTCAGTATAGATTATTTTCTCAATTTTGTTTTTGATTGAGAAAAGATTTTTAATTAATTCATAGATTTCTATATTCTTAAAAGTAACAAAATCACTTTTGTTTAGTCAACATTCAATTAAAACGGATGTATACAACGCAGGAAGTGTATCGAGAAAAAACTTCAAATCTCGAGGTGACAGAGTTTGCTATTTACTTCTTTTTCCAAGCCCTCGATTCTTTGTTTTCATGTTAGGTGAAATAGTAGCTGGGTTTTTTCTTCTTCTTGTCTAAATTAATTTAAAATGTAAGAAATTTTTTCTAAGAAAAAAGAAAAAGTTCATTAATAAAAAATAAACAAAAAGTAAATAATTCTCTTGATGAAATTCTTTTTGTTTTATCTATTCATGTGGATCAAATGTTTTTTTGTTTCTTTATACTTGTACAAATTATTTCATTATATTTATTGATTGTAATCTTCTAAATAAAGATATTCTCATGAGATCTATGCCTAAATACTAACTATCTATTGTTTATTGTTCGATTCATGTCAAAAAATATTCTATCAAATGATTAAAAAGTAAAAAAAAAACAAATTCTTTATTATAACTTTATCTTTCCATATTGTGCAAATCGAATAATTAATCAATTTAATCTCTTGAGTCTATAAATCTCAAAAGAGAATTAATACAAGATTAGTTTTTTTTTGTTTTTGCTTTTTTTAATATATATGAACAAAACATAATTATGATCCAATAAAGAAAATTATATTTGGATAAGGATTAATTAAATATATTTCTTTTTCTCTAAACTTAACCATACCGATCCATTATGAGTATCAGTTGCTTCTTCTTCAGCTGGTTCACGACGACGATTATATTGTTTCCAAAGTACTTGAAGTAATTTAAGAGAAGCTATTGCACCTCCAACAAGTACAAAAACAGGAATATTTCGATTTAATGGACATTCTTCTAAATTTGATATACCTTAAGAAATTTTGAAAAATATTCATTCAAATAAAATAATATATATATATATTGAAAAATCTTACCAACACCAATCATCATCAATGGTAAAATAAGAGATACAGCAAATACAAATGATGCAACTTCTAATAGAAAAAAAAAACAAATTATTGAAATTTATCTTTTCTTTTTGCTCCAAATATTTTTGCATACTCGTTTGAAGTAAGATTGAAGCTGTCTTACGAGTAAATTCAAAAAAATGCTCAGCATCAGTATATTCCTCACATATGCGAGAAAATACAGAAATATTCGTTTGTCGCTCTCTAAGCTCGTTGACCGACCACCGAGATTGATAAGCATTGTTAGGCTCATCACCGTACTTAAAAAGAAAAAGAATAAAATAATATTGGTAAATATCTATTAGATATATTATTTCATATATATATAAATAACCATATACCTTATCGTTAGCTACTGAATCCATTTCAAATATTTACTTTATGAACAAAGTAAAGTAACTTACATTTTCCATATAACATGGCAGATTTGACTTGTTCGTGTGAAATAATGAGGATATGGAGGGAAAAAAAAAGAAGATGAGTTGTCTGATTTTGTTCCTGTTTGTATTACTATTTCTATCTAAAATTTTCCTATATAATCTAATACTAATATTGAACTTGAGAAGGTAGATGAGTGAAAAAAACAAAACAAGAAAACAATACAAGCAATTTTTTGCTTTCATAACTATTCCCGAACAAAAAACTAATCATAATCTATCAGTTTTGAGAGGCGAACACAAGAGACGTAAGAAAAAAAAAAAGAATAAAAAAAGGGAAAGTCAGAATATCGTTGATGAATTTTGACAAGAACACGTATAAGAGTGAGAGCGAAAGTTTACATGCTTACATCTGACTCGTTTAGAAAATAATTGATCGATAATAATTTTCTTTTTTTTTTCAGTTCTTAGTCACATTCTTATTTATTATGTCTTTTAAATACATGACAAGTGTATCATTCTAACTTTTGATATATAAATATACAAGTATTTATTTTTTGTATGCTTGAATAGAAATCACAATTAGCTAAAAATTCAAATTGAAACTATCTATTCAACCGGACGTACTTATTCTTAAACATGCAATGGTAACAAGCAACTTCTTCCTACTTTTATCATTTTATTTTTCAACAAGTTTCACTTACACTCATTGTGTTTGCATGTTTCATTTTGTCGACATGGACATAATTAGTGAAATAATTATTCGGAAAGTCAAAAACATTGTCAACAATAAAGTTCAAAAATTTCCTTGTATTTTCTTTAACATTAATGAATTATTCATTATCACATACCTTATTGGTAATGCATGGTTGTTGTTCTTTCTTGACCGGCTGGCTCATTGGCTTAGATTCTGGTTATATTTCCATATTGTCTTGATATATATAGATATATATATATGAACTCCTTTTATATACTAATAGAAAAGAGAGTAATATAAAGTAGAGAAGGAAAAGACAAAAAACAAAAACAAACAGGTTGTCAACTAAATTACAATTGCTGTTTCTTCTCTCTTGCGTGTTTTTCTTATTACTTATTCTTCTTTCTTTTTTTTTGCGCTCTCTCTCTCTCTCTAAACATTATTGGTAATTCTTATTAAACCATGACATACTAATATAAGGGATCAGTAAGATAGACTAGAACGAAATAATCAACCCTTTAGACAATGAATTTTTTTTCTCTCTCACTTAACTACATATATTCTAGTAGTTTGTTGACATCAACATTTGAATTATACTTTTTAATATATAACTGTTAACTGACATATTTAGTATTTATGAAACCAAAGTGAACATATTCTAGTTTTTCTTTTCCCTGATGAATATCATGTTGCAATAAGAAAAACAAAACTATATATGAAATATATATTCGATATTGATTTTTATTATAAGAAAATGAAATTATTTAATAAATATATATATATATTGAAAATTTTATAATTCGACTATTTTTAATAGAATAAAAATGAATGATTCATAAACAAAAGGATAAATATATTTCTAATTGAATAAATGTGTTAAAAATTAATTTCCGGACAACTATATATTTGTCACATTATTATTTATTATTCAGTTTTTTTTTTTCTCAATAATATGCCTAGTTGGGATAAACGAACAAATTTTGAATTAGTATAAAAGTACGTTTATTGTTTAATGAAAAATGAGTCAAACAAATAACTTCATCATTTTTAATCTAGTTAATTGTAAAGAAAATACTTTGAGTTTATTTTCATCAAACAGTTGGTTTATTATATTTGAAGTTTCTACAATGAATACTACATAAAAATAATTATTAAATTATCAATTTAAGTCAATAGCCTTTCTGTTTTGCTTCTATTTTTATTCTGTATGACGTTTTCAAAAAAAAAAAAACATTTTGTATATACACAAAGGGTCAATTACGTGAAGAACATACTTCAATAGTTTATGGAATATAATTCAAAATCTCGGTTTGGTGCCATTTTATTCAATAGTACTTTATACAGAAAAACAAATACAACTTTGTATTAGAGAAAGTTATTGTAATAATAGAAAGGAGAATAATAATATATAATTGGGATATTCTACTAATCGCATTAAAATAGTTTCATTAAATAAAGAATTCGTTGTTATTGAAAAATAATTCTTTTCTTTTTTAGTCATGTTATTTCTTTAATTCATCAAGCATTATAGAATCATTATTATTTACTTTTTCTCTCTCTCTCTCTCTAAAGAAACCATTTCAAGGTATAAATTGTTTTTAAGTTCATACTCTAATGCAGAAGGTAGATTTCAGTGAGATATGAAGAGAATAATTGCCATGAAACCTTCACTAGAGAGTTATAGCTATTTTAGACTATGACGCAGTATGTACAAACCAATAGAATGACGCCATTTCAATCTGAAACTTTGCTCACAGACAGGTTTTTACTTGTGACTAAGATACACTGAAAAATTCAGTTCATCAAAATACTATCATTAGATTTGTTTGTACATACCGTATCATAGCCTAAAATTTTAGCAAAATGGTTATAATTTTGAAGTAGATATATTCATCGTGGCGTTGCCACTGCGACGATGTTAATGAACCGGCGGATTTTCAACTGCGATAGACATCTACACTCTAGAGTGAAGATAAGTCTATCTTATGCATAGAATGCAAATTTAAAAAATAATTTATCACTTGAAATGATTCCCTTGTAAGGCGAAATTTCTTCAGTAAAATTCTATCGATTAAATTGTAAGATAACAATTTATATAAATAATAAAATGCTCTCATTCTTAAGCAATATACAAAATCTTATTGAAAATGTATATTTTAAGTTCGTACAGAGCAAACTGTTTTTCATTGTTTTGCAAAAACACGATCTGAAAGAAGTGCGGAAGTATAGAAATAGAAGTTTAAATTTGCACATTCCCTCAAAATGTGTATTTTTCCCATGGCAGACGGATATGTAACTTTTTTGTGCTCAGAAATGACCGGATACGAAGCAGAAAAACATTTTTAAGAAAACAAAAAATGCCTGAGGAGAATCTTTTCTCTCATATCATTCAGATATGAATTTCCCGAGTGGCATCATGATTTTAATTCATTTATATCATTTTCAAAAATATAAAATTCAAAAAAAATAAATGAATAAATTTTTTCTTTATTTTATTTCATATTTAAAACATCAAGAATATTTATATTCGGTATTTAAAAACAAAAAAGATTATCGAGCATCATAAACAATTAAACGTTTTGTTCGTTTTTTATACAATATTCGATAACCACATTCATTACCTATACAAGAAACAAACAAAACAATGATATTATAATAAATTTAAAAATAATATTCTATTTATCTTACATCGAATAACATCAGTAGATTTTAATTCATTTTCTTTGTGACATTCACCACAAATATATATCATTGCTTTTGGTTGTAGAACATTACTACCTGTTGTTGTCGATGGCATTGGTGTCATCGATGGATCATGTATAGGAGTTTTATCCATTTATCTAGAAATAATAAAACAAAATGTTTTACTTATGATGTTGTTTAATTCGACATTTATTTCTTTTCTTTAAAACAAAACACAAACAAAAAAAAAACAGTTTAGTTTTATTTATGAGCTTTGCGTTGTGCAAGTATAGCAGCTTGAAGTTCATCACGTTTCTTTTTGGCTCGTTGATGACTTCCTAACTATAAATATAAAAAGAAAAAGAAATTTTAAAATTTTGCATTTTTGCCTTTACATACACGAGCTTTAACATATTTTAATGCACGTTTATCACGGCCAACTTTCATTAATTCCATAGCTCGTCGTTCATATGGCATAAAACCAACGATTTCACGAACAAGATCACGAACAAATTTTACGTGTTTACTTTTTTTCTACGAAAAAACGATTTTAATAATATAAAACAAAAAAATGAATCAAATTACTTGAACACGTCGTGTTGGTCGAATACGTTTTGGAACAAATTTTTCAAGTTTACGACCTTTATAAAGACCAGCTGCTATTTCATACTTAGGTACAAATGATGCTTTAGCAGCATGAGCTGTTTCAGTCGACATGATGATATTAAATCTAAAATAGTTAAATTTGTTTATTGTTTTTTGTTTTTTTTCTATTCATTCTAATAATAAGTTTATCCAAATGAATATAAAAGCAAAGAAATTTTCATTGATCCATAAAATATTCTATGGAATATCGATCTTTAGATAATATTTTTCGATGAACAATAAATTAATTTCAAATCAATGAAAATTTAAATTAATTCTATTTTTTAATGATAATTTTAATTGTATTAATATAAAGGTTAAAATAATATAATTTCTATTGGTTAGATGAATAGTTGTCATTGGTTATATATGAATCATTATTCTAGTATGAATGATATACAAATTTCTCTGCAGCAATCAAAGCAATAAAGTTTTGAACGATAGTAATACTTTTTTTCAAAAAAAAAAGAAAATAAATAGTTTGGTTTACTTGTGAATTAAGTCTAAAATAACCATGGTAAAATGGTAGGTTTGGACTTGTAATGAAAAAAGTCAAGTTTTTATGTTCAACGTTTGATCGAACACAGTTTATACAAATTCTTAATAAGAATTTGTATATAATCAGGCGAAATTTCAAAAGTAATTTTTCATCTTATCTATCCATATAGGATTTTAGAAATATACAAAAGATTGGTCAAGAAAGTCTTAGTAACTTACAAAAGGTTTGTGCTTATGAGCTTCTAGAACCGAGTTCTCACTTCTGAAAGTCATCGTCGAAAAGAATGTTCTTTTGTCGAGGTATTTTAACAAAAGGAACATTCTTGTCAACTGAAGCTTTTAGGATATTCAATGAGTCCTTGAAACAATCTATGGACTGAATGTTAGATCGAAAGTTATGCAAAAATGATTCTAAATCGACTATTCCCACAATTGAAGTAGTTCCTTCATTAGTGATAGAGTTCTTATTATGAGAAATCAATATCAAAAGACGATATCGTTTAACTTATGCTAATAGTTTAAAATAAAACTACTCTCATTCCATTCACAACAATTATCTTAGTCGTGAAAAAAAAATACATTCAACGAGTAGTTTCTGTCAAGCGTTCTAAATTAAAGCTGTTTAAGGAATAGCACAAATAGTGCCAATATGTTATTGTTTAAACTAAATTCTATACACGATATCAGAGTGTGGGTAACATATTGTATTGCTTCAAACTTGCAATCCAAACTCATCAATGTTTGCTTGTAAACAAAAGAATAGATACCTTTCTGATAATTGATATGAATAATTAATGTCTATTTTATTGGTGAAGAGAAACATAAAAGGCAACAGGTGTTCTCGCTAAAAGCATACTATATATTTTTCGTTCTATTAAAATATTTTGTATTTTTTTTTTAAAAAGTTGTCTACTCTATTTATTAAATCATCGAAGTCTACTTAGACTTTGTTGCAACTTTTTAATATGGCAACCCTGAGAGGAAAGTACTCTTAACAATTTCAATGACGTTTATAATTGTTATTGAATTTATTTCAAGAACTTTGCAAATATTCTATGCATTTCCCCCTTCTTTCAAATTCACACAAAAGTGCATCATTTCGTTTCTGCGAATGGACAGCACTTGAACATACTGAAACTATGCAAATATAGTCAATCTCTACCTATATATGATACCGCTTATACGTATTGATTTAATTCTTACTATGCGAAAATAAATTACAGAATGTTCTTTAAAAGAACAACATTTTGACTTTAAGGACAGAAAAAAAAATTTATGATTTCAAGCTTTTTTTTCATCTTTGCTTCTAGATAATCATGCAATTAAATGATTTAGAACAAGAAGATGAAGAATTTCAAAATTTTCTTAAACAAGTAATTATATCTATTTCAATTATTAATATATCATCTATTATTTAATAGGTAACATTATCAAAAAAGACTGATGAAAATAAACATACAACAAATAATGATGAACATCTTGCTATTAAACCTGAACCTGGTAAGAATAAAAATAAGATCAAATAAAAACTTATCATCTTGAAAATAAAGGTTTTTGTTTAAAAACAAAACGACTTGGTGATGAAACAACCAATGAAAAAATCTTTATTAATGTTTGTATATCATCTCAAGTTAATGCTCCAAGAGAAATAACTGAAGATGAACTTATTGAAATTGTTAAATCAGAAGATCCAGGAAGATATCGTGTACCAATTAGTTTAGGTGAACCAGTAGCTGATCTTGATAAACGTTAGTTTAAATAATTTTATATCAATAAAAAAGAAAAAAAAGTCTTTTTTCTCTATTTATTCAGATGGACAAGCTTGTACAATTTTTACCGTTATTATTCATCCGGATTTTTTTCGTCGTGCACATTCAAGTCAAACATTTATGAATTTTTTACTTACATTAATTTATGAAGGTTTAGAAAATAAATATCCTGAATTTAAACTTGATACTGGTAAGTTAAATATTAATTTCACTCAATGTATTTGTTCTTTTTTTTTTTTTTGTTTTCATTTGCACAACACATACATACATATAAAGAAAGCATCAATACCAATAAGTTTTAAAAAAAAATACGCATAAAGAAATCAAAATGCAGCGATAGATACATATACATGTAGTAAACATCATGAGAAGAAAAAAAATGAATTAAGATCAATAATAGCATAGTGCATTGCATTAGAAAGAACATTAGTTTTTGTTTTTGTTTCTTTACATGTCAAATAAATGTGAGTATCACAATAGATTTCTGTGGTTTTTTTTTTTTGTTTAGCCTCTGTTCTGTTTTGAGTATCACATGAATACGTTTAAGAAGAAAACAATATCACACTAGCGCTGAATAAAAGAAAAAGAGATTCGGGAGTAGTAGAAAAAAGAAAGGGTGGACGGAATTTGAAATAAACAAACAAACATAAAAACACACAAAAAATTGTGCATAAGAACTAACCTACTCATTAATATCACTTATATCATCAAGACTATTATGATCATCATGATCATCTTGATCGGATAGATGATTATTTGTACCATTCGATGTTATTGATAATTCACATTGAAATTTTTGAATTGCTAATTCAGTACGACGTTTTTCAATAGCTATACGTTCATTTTCACATTCATTAGCTGCTAATTTAACATCAAGATTTTTTCTTTCAATTAATAAACGTTCTTTATCATAATTAAGTCGTTGACTTGCTAATTCAAGTGTACGTTTACGTTTAATTAATGATTCAAAACGAAGTGAATTTTGTTGTTGTCCATATGATTTCGTTGAATTTAAATATTGTTGATTTTGTGATGGTTTTAAATATTTACGTTGTTTATCTAATGTACGTTTAGATATTTGTCCATTACTTGTTATTCTCATTGTTGTATGTATTGATTGTGGTGTAAGAAATGATGAAAGTGATGTTGGTTGAAGACTTGTTGCTGGACTTGGAGAATTATCATCATTACCAAGTAGACTAGCACTTTCATCACCTGCAGAATCTAATTGTCCATTAATACCATTTGCAAGATCTGACGATGGAGAATCTGCTTTATCTGATGACTAAAAATAAAAAAAGAGATATTTATAAACTTGATAAATTTTGATTAAGTTTGACAAAGCATTAAGATTTCTTTGACATGATTTAATTTGACAGTCGTTCACGGATGAAAACATTATGTTTCTTTTCTTTTTTTTTTTTGTTGTTGTTTTTTTTTTTGTTAATTTTATCAAAATGAATAGAAAAATAACTATTTCTTTTATTCCGGAAGGTTTGCATGATATGTGCAATTACTTTGAACATTTCCGGATAGTGATATCTCGAATGAAGACTTGATTAGCTAAAATCGGAATCTGAATTGAAATCTTTGGCTTCATATTTCTGTAGTTCCGGAAGTATTTTTTTGACAAAGTCTCTCGTTATCATTGCAGAACTTATTCATGCTGTTTTTTTGAAATAAGAATCACACCTTTCTTTTTTTTTCTTCTTCTTCTTCTTCTTTTTTTTTTGAATTTACTTCAACTAACAAAGCAAACAAAAGTCATATATTTAGAACGAAAGGAGTATGAATAATAATTTCACAACCTTTACGTAAGAGAATGTGATTAACAAATGCTATTCGAAGTTGTCGAAAAAAAGAAAATTTTCCTCAATGTAAAATTTGAATTTATTATTTTCTTTTCTCATAACTAACCCGTTCGTTAAATGTTGTTTCATGATTATTGTTATTTCCATTATTCATATTTGATTGTAATTGTAAAGCTTGTTGATGATGTATAGCAGCAGCAACTACTGCATGATGAACAAAATGAGGTGATGATTGTGATATTGGAGCACGACATATAGATAAAATTCTATTGTATAAACTCATTTGTTTATTTGATACAGGTGCTGTGGAACCAGCTGATTGAGCTGCGCGATATGCGGCTACTTCACGTTTGGCTTCACTTTGTAATTTTTTCCATTTACGTCGTACATCTTCAACAGTTCGTTCAACTTGAGGATATGTTGCATTAAGAGTATCGGTGATTTGTTTCCAAATAGCTTGCTTTTGTGCTATAACACTTTTTGATGCTTCACGTGAATGTAATAATTCTTTATACATATCATATTGATCAATAATATTAATAACTTCATGATCAGTAAAATTTGGTTTTCGACGGCGTCCCACATGAAATGCATCAATCGAAGAATAATCTGTTGGTTGATCGTTCATATCTTTGAATATATCTGTGGAATCGTATAAGACTTCTATGTGGATAAGGGATAAGGAGTATGGTTCGATCTGTAATAGAGAAAGAGAAGTCGTCTCGAATGACAAGTCATAAAAAAAAAGTAATCGTAAGAAAGTCTAAACCAAATACGACACAACAGTGCATCGAGTAGGTAGACACGATGTGTGTTGTTGCTAGGCACCGATCTTCTCTCCTTCGTGTTCTTTCTGTCTTTACATTGTGCAAGTGACTGAGAACGAGAGTATGAGCGAGAGCTATACTCTTAGAGTGTCCCACCGTCACTACGTAGTCATAGTTTTATTCGTATTATTATTTCTCTTCTTCCTTTCTTCTTTTTCTTCTGCGTCCTTATTATGTGCGTGCGTCTCCCTAATCCAGATATATATATATATATATATATATATGTAAAAATGCATTTTCGTCCCTTTCTTCGTACTCTCCGTCGTCGTCATCGTCTTTTTTCAAAAAAAACTGAGAGAGAGTAGAAGAAGAAAATTTTTGTGATGGGTGGTGTCTAGTACCATTACTCTCACTTTCCGTACAACAATAACAAACGAGTGAAAAAAAGAAAGAGACGCAGAAGAAGACGAGAATGACGATAAGGAAAAAAAGTGGGCACATGATGAGAACAGGAAACGATCATAGACCTGCTCATGAGAATGCTCAAGTGAACTACGTAGAGTGAGCACTAACGATACTTCTTTTTTCTCCTTCTACTTCACTTACTTGCAATAAATACAAGAATCCAGAAATTTTTTTATGCTTTACTGCCGCTGAATGTCAACGAACGAGAGTCACTTTTTTTTTCTATTTATTTTAATCATTCAGACCTTCGTTCTATGCATTGGAAATGTCGTATTGTTTTTTTACAAATGGATTGCTCATTCTTTTCTTTTACATCGTTGCTATTGATTGTATCTAATGTTTGATGTAGCATGTTGGTGTCCAAATCTTTTGTTCTCTTTTTCTTTCCAGGTGTATGTTGCGATCACTTTACTCTTGTCTCAATTCCACTCATCATAAACTCTACATATGTGAATCTTTTGTATGTTGATAATAGGAAAATGACTTGCTTTTAAAATGTCGTAAGATCCGATCAGTGAAGTGTAACAGTGTGCTTGCTTATTCAACCGTAGTGACTAGTCGCACTATTATGAGTTACATGACCTGGGTATATACGTATCATCTGTTTACTCTTTTTTTTTTCTGCGTTGAATCTTAATCGAAAGTCATCGTCTTTTTCTCCCTCTCTCTCTCTCTCCCTCCCTCTTTCCCTTTTCTTTTTTACCTAACGATAGAACAGTAAAAGGCAACTGTATTTACCATCTTACTACCTTGGTTACAAACAAGTGATTTGCTTGATCTAACTTAGAATGATGAAATTTGAAAATATGAATAAAAAAAAAACTTACTTTAAACATATAAAATATAAAAATATAAAAAGAAAAATAATTTTCATTACTTAAGACTGGATCAAACTCAAAAATCGTAAATATATGGGACAATTGACTGAACAACATATTCGAGTTCGTGCTAAACCATTCATTGTCGAAGTCGATCAACAAGGAAATAATACAGAACAAAAAATGTCTGTCTACTTATATTTTTTTCATTATATATTTCAATCATTGTTCAACATATTCCTTTTAGAGATACAAGTTCAATTATCGAAAAAGGGTGTGTGTGTAATAACTTATTACGTAAATATCTAACAATAAGATATATTCTTTTTTTGAATATAGATCTGTACCAGAATTTAAAATTATACGTGAACCACTTGAAGGTGATCCAAATTTTTTAATTATGGATGTTCAATTACCTAAAGTGGTGAGTTTGATCAAAAATCAATAGAATTGAAAATAAAAATAAATATTTCCATAGAAATCTGCTAAAACATTGACACTTGATATTGGTATTGATCGTATTATATTATCTACACGTTCAAATGTTTATGATTTGGATATATGGTTACCAATTGATATTGATTCCGATGAATGTGGTGCACAATTTGATAAAGCTACACATGTAGGAAATTTGTTTTTTTTTTATTATTATTTTAATTTATATTATAGATTTTAACAATAACAATGCCTGTTAAACATGATACAACATAAATTTTGTTATTGTTATATCTATTGTTAACTTAATATTTGCCGCCAGATAAGAATGATAAATCTGAACGATATTACACCATTGTTAATAACTAATAAATAAAATATATGCTCAATGTTGATGATTTTTTTCTAATTTTCTCTTCAAGGAGTTCTATTCTAAATGAATCTTTAGTAGATTATGTTAATTATATGATTTTGATTGTTATGAGTCGTTAGAAATGAAAATTTTACAAGGAGAGAAAGTCCTTAAGTGTGACGCATCGTTTTGAATTGGATGTATACTACTTTGTAGGCTACGGTGAGACTCGAGAAAACTTAGAAGGATTCGTCCTAATAGTTTATACTTTTTGAGTTATGGCCATTTTATTAGATTTTCGATCAAGTAAATATGAACAAGTCAAATTAAAGATTTTTTCATAGGAAACTTTGCCTATTGATAGTTCCTATAGTAATTAGAATATCCTAAATCTATCGGTTCAAAAGAATGTTGTCTTCTTGAGATATCGTGCATCTAAAAATTGATCATGTGTTAAGAGCAGACGCAGGAAGTTCAATGTCTTCACTAGCTATGAGAACTATCCATGTGGAAAGTTTCAGATAAAAAATTCCATAATTCAATTTTCGCATGTCTACTTTGTCAGAAGTTGAAAATCTAATAAAATAGTCATAATTTCAGCAATGCAAAGTATGAAGACGAACTCTCCGAGTCTTTTTCTAATTTCATCGTATTCTAAAAACAAGAGACTAAATTTCAATTATGCATTTATTCTCTCACATATTATAGTAAAAATCCAGTAAAACTATCATAATTCTATAGAGAAAGTCCGCAAGGGCAAACTATGAGTAGAAAAACGATAAATCATTTCAAGTGCTTCGCCGATAAGAGATTACTGACAAAATTAAATACTACTATAACATATACTGCACGTGTTGTATTTCGCGACATAATATAAAAGACATTAAGCTGCAGTACACGCAACACATTTTGAAAGCATGATACGAATATAGCTTTTGTCATGTCTGTCAATTCTTCAGTGAAAGTGAATAATTGTGGTTCTTTTTAAGTTTATTTCCAATTAGTAATATCTATTCTTGGAATCTAAGGGCTATAAATTCTTAACATCTACTACTCTCGAGTGAGCTTGATCACGATCATATCGTTCATTCTTGCACAATGACTAATCAAGAAATAATTTCAGTATTTGTGAAAAATTTTCATTGATTCATGGTTTTATATTTTATTCATGATTGGAAAAGCATTATTACAATTAAAAAAAAATAGAATACAAATTTTGCTATTTATATTAGTTAGCAGCAAAGGCAAACCGTTGAATGTATCGACTATAATATAGTTAACATATGTTTTATAACATGTTCTTTCGAACTATATCTAGATAGATAAAAATGAATAAAATACTGCTTGTTGGTTTTGTCATAAAATTTGAATAATGTAAATCTAATGTAAGTTCAATACAAAATCTGTTAAATAATAATGAATAAACTGCTATTTAAAATTCAAACATATCTTTTAACAGGTAGTTGTTTAAATAATTAATTATTGTTAGTTGAATTTAGTCTGAAGACTTTCTCAATATTGCATGATTTTGTCTAATAAATAATAATGATGATACGATCTATTATATAACGTCAACTATTGAGTTTCCTGTTATTCTAACTATGATAAACAACGACATCTCTGTTCAATGCGGAAGATTTTTTATTGTTCATTCGAGGATTAGCTACGAATAATGAACATGGCTACATATTATTCCCAGACTAAATGCCAAATTCATAAAGCACACAATTTTTCTTTTGTAACATATCACTTTGATGAAATCTATGGGAACATGATTTTATTTAGATATGTTCAACATATGTATTGATTATAAACATAATCATACATTATTATTTTATATATCAAGTGAATGGTTATCTATTCGCAATATATCGTTTGTGATGCTTTGCCATTGTTGGTGCTTGTCTCGTTTTTGAGGTTTAGCATCACAAAAGCAACATCAACATTATCGTTTTCAACTGACGATAATAATAATCAAATAAGACGAGCTGATGAATGTAAATAATTTTTAATAATCATACACAATGAGATAAAATATTTTCTTTTCAATAGATGTCATGACTTCAGCATCAATTGATGGTATTAAACGTTCAAATGTTTGTGGTGATGGTTATCGTATTGAAGGAGCTCTTCTTAAATCTTATCCATATTCTAAACGTGAATCATATTTACCTTATGAAGATTGTTATATGACATTTAAAGTTTGTGATTTTCTATGTATTATTAAGATACGAATGTTAAGTTTTGTTGTTCTAGGCTCGTCGATCGGACAATCAAATACGTATTCGTATTCTGTCACTAGATCTTAATGATATTCATCACGGTATTAATTGTCTAGATTCACTTCGTTTTTATCAATCAGTTTATATAACAAAACAAGATAAACTTGTATGTTGATATAAAAGAAATTTGTTTTATGTGTATTTTTTCTTTTGTTTTGTATTAATTCTAGGCTACCGTTGAATGTGGACAATTAACTGAAGAAGAAAGATTTCAGGTGATATCACCGACAGGAATTGTTACCGCGCATTTTTCGTTAGTATAATTTAAAATTTGGTAAGATGAATATTAGATTTGTTTTGTTAGAACCGATGGTGGCAATGTTAGTGGTCTTGGTTTTAAAGTTGTACTTACTGCTTTTCGTTTTCGTAAGTATAGTAAAAAAAGAGAGATACGTTTTAATATTAAAATACAAATCTTTTATTTAAATTTAATAGCAAATAAAACACATCCATGCGATTCAAATAATGATGAATATCTTTGTAGAAGTAAAGAATGTATTAGTAGTTTACTTTTATGTGACGGTAAATACATTTGATTATTTTTAATTATTTTATAATATTATATTAAAATGAATAGGTGTTCCTCATTGTTTGGATGGTTCGGATGAATTATCAGATCGTTCATGTGTTTCACGTAAGTTAAATATCCTATAAAAAAATTTAAATATAATTATATTAAATATTATAGAATCTTTAAATAGTGGTAATAGTGAATTAAATAATCGTACAACAACATCTAAACGTCAACATTGGCGTGGTATTCTAATAGCTGCATTTTTACTTATTATATTATTTGTATTTATTCTATTCATGATTTATCTTATTTGTCGTCGTTGTGTTAGTCCACCAATGCCCTTAACAAATCATGCAAAAAAAAATTATGCAACTATGTTAAATTCTTGTATGTTTTTATAACATAAAAAGCAAAAACAAAAAAAGCCGAAAACTTATTATTATTTAATGAAAACATTTTTCTTTTTTTTCTAGCTAAAACTGGACCGAAAACAACAACACAAGTTGTTATACAAAATGATAAAATTGGAAAACGTCTTGATGATGATTATAATGTACTTTAAAATTTACATTCCTTGTTTTAGTCATGTTTAATATTTATATGTTATCATTACATATCGTCAAAATTGTAATCTTTATATATCAGATTTGTAACAGTGATATTTCTTAAAATTAGTCATAGATGTATACACGTATTATAAATATTCAGCTATATATATATATATAAATTCTATTAGCAAATAAAAAAAAGTTCGAATTATGTGTAATATGATTAGAGAATTGTAATAAAATGTATTGAATCATTTTATTGTTGCAAATAGTCGGAAAACAAAATCAACTATCTAGGTCACTAGTTTTTATGTCATGAGAATCGTTTTTTTTTTGAATTAATCTGCTTTTCATACATGAGCACGCATCTATTGGATTCCTCGATGCACAAAAGTCGAACGCTATTGTCTTGCAGGAAATGGTTTTCCATAAAAAGAATAACAAACTGTTCGAATCATTTCTTTATATCTCATATTATTTACTTTGATAGAGAAATGTGCGAGTACTGTTCTTTTTTTTTTGACGATAAATTCAATCATTTCATGCATGCAGAATTCATTTTGGTTTTCATATAAAAATGAAGAGAATATTTAAAAAATCTTTTCGAAACTTCTACAAAGATGTATAAAGTAAATAAAATTAAAATCATATTAATATTCATATTTCTACAAACAAAAAATTTCGTTTCAATTTTTTTTATTTGTTCAATTCATAGAAAAATTGCATTTTCGTTGCTTGCTATAGTCTCTCTTTTTTTCATTATAACGAAAAAAAAAACGCTGAGAACTTTTTTCAAATAAGCTTCACAAGAACAAAATAATAAGAAGAAATAATAAGTATATATATGAATTGATCATCCAAATAAGAAGATAAATCTTTGTGCTAATGTTCAAAAATTGCAACAAAGATGAAGAAAAGAATGGAAGGAAATAATAAAAACTCACAACATATATCTATCATATATACAAAGAAAAAGAAAAAAAAAAAAGAAAACTTGCCGCTGAACTCGAACACCTGAGCATGAAATTAGGAAGCACGCGATGAAACAGACAAAAAGAAAAAGATTTGATCATTTGTCATAGTATCGCATCAGAAACAATAAACGTTAGAGAGAAAAACTCGAAAGTATCACACATCACCGGTTGCCGAATTCAACATGCACACACACACACACATGCAATGAAAATGCGAACACATTATACATAATTTTCTCGACCAGTCGATAGTTTATGTTGATTTGTGTGTTCAAATAATCTCGCTTTTTCACGTACTGACCATGAAATATCAGATGGACGAAATTCATTATTAATATCAAATGAAAATGATTTCATCGGTTGTGGTGATGGTGGTAAACGTCTTTCAATTGATTGATAACGTGAAACATTTGTTAATGTTGGTGTTGTTGTTATTGTTGGAATATGACTTATTATAACTGGTGTTGATGTACGTGATTGTCGTTCATGTTCATTTGATTTATATCGAAGAGCATTTTGTCGATGACATGGACGACGTTTTTCATTTGATAATAATAAATCATCAATTGGTTTCATTTGTATAGCTGCACCAAGTACAAATGGACGTGAATCGGCATGATGAACAAATGTTCGACCACGTTCTGTTGGTGGCGGTGGTGGTGATGGTTTTGGTGTGTTTAGATTTGTTTGACTGAGATGTTGATAACGAGGATTTAATTGAGGTTTTACATATATTTTATTTGTTGTTGATATTAATGGACCAGTAGTATGTCGAGAACGACTATCAGCTATAATAGGTTGTTGACATGGCTTTAATTGAACAGGTGAAGATGTTTCTTTTATAGGTAAATCAGGTTTTTTTGATGCTGATTTTAATGTTAATGATGCTGAACGATTAGGAGTTGATATAGACGATGGAGTTAAACGTTGATTTATTGTACTTAATGGTTCACTAGTTAAATCTAAATCTTGTTGCTCGGACGGCGTTGATCTATGCAAACAAACAGAAAATGAAATTATAAAACTAATTATTGAATTTGTTATTTATAATTATAAAAAGCACTAATTAAAAAAAATTATTCGAGCAGCCATCTCTTACATACCATAGTTATACTTAAACTATTTACAANTTTCATCTAGCTGACAGGTCATTTTCATGAGTTGTTTTGCATGTTTTTCAAATATCATTCGTTTTAAAAGAATTTCGTCTTATACATTATCGAAGAAAAAGACGTGCCCGCTCCTCCTCTTTCGATTGGTGAAAACCGCAGGTAGCTAGGTATTGCGGTTGTCGAGTTATTGAGCTTACACTCACCCCTCTTTTATTCTGGCGCGGACATTAGCAGATACATGCTCTCAAATGGTACAGAAGAACGATGTCTGAGAATGCATATCTTCGTCAAATAGAAGGAAACAATTAATCAACATCATCGAGTACACCTAAGTCTTGTGGATAATGTAATCAACTACTTATTATGTATATATATATAAATATATTTCAACTTGGTTGAACATACCATGACTTAATAAGTCATTACAACAGTTGAAACAACGTTTTGACGTTCGATAGACTGAATGAAGTTGATACAGATTTTATATAGTTTTATAGTGACTTGGAATGTTGAGTGATTTTTGTCTGTTGTGCAGGAAGGTATCGTTTGATTACACATTATCCATAATGCTAACCTTAGATTTCTACGTATTGACCTTTTATGAGTGATAGTTATGGTAGAATGGTCATTTTCTGATATTCTACTTGAAATCATACATCATTACAATACTCCTGACTATTTTTTACTGTAATATGTCTACTTTTTGAATCTATGACGTGCGGTATCATCGACTTTTGAATACTTTTACAGACGATGAGAAGCGAACAAATATTCGATATCATTGCGACAGAAAAGATTTCCCCAAATGGAATAATAATGAGAAAATCCGCTAGAAAAAATTGTACTAATTTTGCATGTAGAATGAGACCATCACCAAAAATACTTCATCATCAGGAGCGAAAAATACCGAATCTCACTTCTATTTCATGTCACCGAACGGAATAAACCATCGGCAATGATGTTAACAGAGAGATATAGTATTTGTGAAAAAGCACTTTTACACAAAAATGGGTTTAAGAAATCACCCGTCAGAATATAAAAGTTCAGACAACTTCACTAATCTCACCTTCCTAATATTATTAAAAAATCGTTACATGCTCTATTTAGATACATCTTTCACATGTGTAATATAACTCTTCTTTTTGTTTTAGGGCTGGTTGGTCTCTTTTTGTTCGTGGTGGCCATGTGAGTATAATTTAAGTTATTAATACTTAGTTCCCTTTCTATCCGACGAACCAACTCAATGTCTAGCACATTCATCTGAAAGAAAACTAGAGCAGACAGTTAGTTTTGAATAATAAGATAACGAATAAAGTCATGGTCACGTTAGAAGACCCCGGGTCTTCTATTCTGTCTTATTGTTCACAAGTTACAAGGGGAGTCTTATATTATGTCCTTAAAAAAAAATCATATTTTTCTGACACCCTCAACGATATAGTTTTTATATAAGTCTTTTTTATGCTGGTAATGCTGTTAGTAATTATTTATTTTACTTTTTCTCCGTTGGTACAGTTGATAAAAACCAGTCTATATTCTTTTACAAAAGAAAATCTCATAGAACGAGTGTCTTTATTATACAATGCACGTAATCACACAAAAAAACCGGTTAATTGACACTTCATAGTAGCAATATGTTTTACAGAATCTGTGGTTAGATAGTTACCCATAAGAGATGTTTTATGTTTATATTCAGTTATGAAAACAATTCTAAAGTTTACTTTTTGTCAAAAGAAAGAAGAAGTTAAATTAAAGATAAGTCTACTTGGTCATAACAGAAACCGGTCTTTTACATGCCGTTTACAGATGTTCGATAACTATATTTTATGTTATTGAATTATAGACCGCTTTGAACGTCAGAAAGCACAGAAGAATATTTGTAAGATGAAGTTTACAAACACATAGAAAGAGAAAGAATATACATAATAAAAAGCCTACAAATTAACCATAAGAGGGGAGTCTTTCAATCTGTCTTTTGCATCGTTTATTTAGCCCATTACTCCCTGATGGGTCATTTTTGACTCATTCATAAAAACTAACTTTTTGAAGTAATAAAACACAGGAGTAAGGCGGTCCTTGAACATTGTGTAGAGATCTAAATAAGATAGAAATTCGTAAAAAATTGAAATATTTTTATTTTTTCTTGGCTGAGATATTTGAGTCAAAAATGATGATTTTCCCAAAAAGTGAACAAATCCGACTCTTTCTTGCTTTTTGGTTTTTGTATATACATGGACCGGTAATTTTTGTATTCGAATCACTGATATGTATTACTGAGGGTATGACTTATTTACAGAAACGGTTGAAAAAAATTATTGATTCGAAAGGTGAAAACATCATCCATTACAACAAGTTGGGTCAAAAATGACCCGTTCGTAGCGAACGACATAAAAAAATGTATTTTTCTACAGGTATTTTGATTTCGATATAAACTTATGGCTAACGATGTTTTCATGCTAAAAACGCTTCTTATGTAACTACTAGCCAGTCAAGAAATAATCGACGACAATTTTTCAATAACTTCTACTGATAAAAGATAGCAGCCTGCAGTTTTGTTAAGAATTTTCTTCTATGTAAGCATGAAGGATTTCTTCTCAACCGTTATATGCAGCTGATGATGATCGTGATCGCATCTTTTCTGATGTTTCTCTTTTCCATTTTCTGTGCTCTCCTTCATCCATCTATATCGTCTATCTGTTCTTCTCTCTTTTCTGTTCTTTTCGTTCACTAATAATCTTTTCGATGAATTTCTCGATTGAACTAACAGTCTATGAAATTGTGTGATATTGCACAATTGACAAAAAAAGAACAGCACATTCTCTTTTTATTAGCATGTGATGACCACTTTCGGCCTTGCTGAAGGGTCTCATTAGATGACTGCTAATAATAAGAAAATAATGAAGGAAGTTGTAACTTTAATCTGATATCTATAAAATTCAAAACACTTATATTCACCTAGATATGGTTCTAGTTAGAATAAAAAGATACATGTTATACATGTCCGATATACAAAGTCATCTGATGGAATCTTTTAACAAGGTCGGAACCAGTCATCACTGCTACTAATATGAAAACATTTTTGTTCATCCAAAGAGAAAAAGAAAAGAATATGCCTCTAATATTTCAAATATAACTCGTCATAATAATTTGGCATATTGGCCACAAGTTCAACGAAATTTGCGTCTTCGATGCAAAAATAAATCATGTACCATGAAGACCAATGTTTATTGTTTCAAATATAGTGTTCATTTATGTCTTAAAGCAACACATAATTGTTTCAAAGATTATCATTGTGAAAAATAAACATACACACACATGACACATTGGCATGGTTTGTTGCTATTTTTTATTCTAAGTTTTGACTGTAATAAAATGAAACTTAACATCTCTCATTTGAAAAGTAAATTTTCTTCTAGAAAACAATTCATAAGATTAAGGGATATCTAGTTTTATCAGATGCAATAAGCACACAAGTCCAAAAAATCGTACTAAAGCGAAATAATCAAACAGTTGAATTTTTAGGTCATTTCAAGACTAGTGAGTCATTTTTGACCCATTCAGTATCTCCACAGTGAGACAACATTGTTCACATTTAACCATACCATTGACATATTGAGTACTCACATAAGCTTTTCCTATTGCCGAATTAAAACCATCTCTGCTGGATTAGTGCCAGGGGATAAAGGGTTAAGAGGGATCTTCTATTATCGGTGGTCTTCTAATGTGTCGATGGCTTTAACTCATCACCGTTCATATCGTTTGGTACAGTTTATTCATAGACATCTTACGTACACCTTATAAAGTTTATAATGCTATCATCATTGGGTGATCGAGTTTTGCCATAAAAATTAACCGGATAAAAATAATAAAACTGTCTAATCTAATAGAATAAAATCTCAATAAAGAAAAAAGTTCATTTCAATCAATCAAATAAAATCTTAGGGGTTCATAATAAATTTAGAAGATTGTTTTTCTGTGGATTTTCAGTATTACAAATGTTCTCCATTTTGTTGACTGTAATGAGTTTTAGAAGGGAATATTCATCAACGTCGGTAAAGTTTTAGGCGATCTGGAATTTTGTACCCTGTAATATTTAGTCGGCTTTTGAATTTTATAATGCTTTGTTGGTCATAAAAAGTGAACTCCACACATAAACTCCAAATTTGGAGCTCACTTACGCCTCCATTTTTTACAAATAAAATAGAGTCCATGTTTTCTGGTTTGTAGCAGTCAGACCCCATTTCACTAAGATACTAGGTCGAGAGTTATACCCGGTGTTCAAAACGTATAGTGCCTAGGATGCTAGTAGCATTACCCTGAATGCTGGTAGCATCACCTAGGATGCTAGGGGTGTGCATGGGTGGGTAGTGGCAGGGGTTGTTAAGTCCTATTTTTCAAAAATGGGTGCTTCTGGATGAAAAATTTTAAAAAAATTTCAGTTTTTTTCGAAAAAAATTATTTTTTCTCAAAAAGTTCCTTTCTGCGTTAAAAAAACTTTTAGGAAAAAAATTTTTTTTTAATCAGATAGTAGTTCGGGAGCCCTAGCCGTACTGGCACACACACTACTAGCATCCCAGGTAATGCTACTTGCATCCCAGGTCGTTCTTTAAGGGAATTCAACATTTGGAGTTTACACGGTTCCAAGGTCTTCGTTCTGACCCTGAACTTTATGACCTCAAGTGAGGTCAATGAGTAAAACGTTGTTGCGTAAGTGAGCTCCAAATTTGGAGTTTACGCAGTTTGGAGCTCACTTTTTTGACCTGCTTTGTTGATTTTTATTTTAGGTGGATCAACTTCGGCTTCAACAACTGGGTAGCTAAGTTGAATCCTTATGAATGCAAGCTTCCGCTCAACCCATGAACCACGAACAGGTCGCTGTGTAAGTGTTCATCAAAGCTTTTGTTCTCAATTATTGTTCGATTTTTCTTTTAGGGGGGCTTTGATTTTTTTGCTTTTTTTGCTACAAAAAACAAGTTGAAAAACTCAATTGGTCTTCTTTTTCTGCAAGAATGTAATCGAAAAACGAACGTATAGTTGAGTTAGACAAAGCCGATTTTATTATCTATTTCAACTTGATTACTTTCGATATGCATGCAAGCGCTGATTACCATCATGGATTCTTCTTATGTATGTGATTTGAAATGCTGAAAATATCACCTCGACCACATCATTTATAAAAACTAAGTGGTTTCAAAAGAATTTGTTGTCAAATATATCCCTTCTGACAATGACAACAAAAGGATTATCCAAAAAACTTGTTTAACTTTATATACAGAGTGATCCAAAAGTCATGATCCAAAGAAAAATCGAATATCTTCGTTGCGGTTCAAGCAAACGGGCTGATTTTTTTACCAGTGATAAAGGCATGTTCGCACTCCATATCCATAAAGACAAGATGAGGGTGAACATTTGTTAAGTACTACTATTGGCATCAACAAAGAAATGTACCCATTTTCGATTACTGGAAATATATTGTCAAGAAAAGATTCGCAGTTGATTATAGGCTTCCGAGCCTATATTTTGCTAAATCGTAAGGGATCGCCTGACAATAATAACCTCCACAGAATTCTCTCTTTTGATGGGTCTTCACCGAGATATTAAATTTGTTATGAATTTTCTCGTAATGTACTCCAATTTTCGAAAACATTGTAATTTCAAATTTCTGACCTGAAACTTTGCCCAACTCAAGATCTCATCTAGACTAGCTCGTACAAAATTTCAGAACTTCTGAATATAGTATTTCCGAGATAAAAAGCTTTCAAAATCTCTACATTTTACACAATATCAATAAAAAAGCGCCTTAATCTTGAAAAATTATATCCCGGAAATACTACATTCAGAAGTTCTGAAATTTTGTACGAGCTAGTCTACGTGAGATCTTGAGTTGGGCAAAGTTTCAAGTCAGAAATTTGAAATTACAATGTTCGCGAAAATTGGAGTACATTACGAGAAAATTCACAACAAATTTAATATCTCGTGGTGGGTGTGGGTGCGTGGATGTGAGTGAAGAGGATATTAGCACCCGCACCCGCACCCACACCCCACTGACACTGACACCCTCATCAAGTGGGAGTTAATGTCGTCATGAGGCTGAAAACAATAGGTTACGGATCGTATCCTGTTGCCAAATCCGAGCTCTACAATCGAGTGTAAAACAATCAGATTCGAGTTTCGTAATCGAACTGAAAACGACGGCATATGGATCGCATCTTGCCGTCTTGATCAAAGCACTGAAACCATAATTGAGAAATGTGCCACGAACGGGTAACTGCAGCAGGCCATCGCTTATAAGTCTAGAAATTTACAGAAACTAAGTCAGAACTGATTTCGAAATTCTACTTCATAAACTCGCTGGAAATCCACCAGATTCGGCCATTTCCTGCTGTAAGCACTTGACCTGAGATTATCAAAATGCTACTGTTTTGATTTATCCATCTTCATCGAAAATTCGTCAAATATAATAGTCTTTTTCATTCTTATCATTCAGTATCTATTTATATGTAATCTATAGTGTATTATATTGATAATATCTATCTGTCAACCTGTATAAAGGGACTTTAATGAGGCACAATCATCATTTTCATTAGTTAATTGAACTTTGTTTTGACTGATATATTAACTTTAATACACTTTTGAAAACGGTATTATATATGTCTATGTATGAAGCCATTAAAAAAATAATAAGTAACATCTGGTGGTTCAGCGACTTGGGGCGATTTAGGTTTAATGAGATGGATATCTGGTTCGATATCCATATATATCCAGAATTCAAAATTATTTAAATAAAAGTGTGGGATATGTCCTATCTTGATGCTTCCCCTCCCCAGAAACACATGTCTGCATCCACATCCTGTGGTTTGATCACTACCTATTATTGTTCGTTTTGTAATTATGAGTGTAAGCCGATCGGCTTGGCCATCGCCGCACTGATAGACGTAAAATTTCTAAAACATATCAGTTTGTTGCTGCGATACAAAAATCGATATTTTATTTTTTAAAATTTCCGACATCCCAAATCAGGTTTTGAAGATGTTATCGTCTAGTCTCTTGTCAATAAATTCACTACCATCTTTTTTTCGAAATT